TGTAAGGGTGGAAAACTCACAGGCAATTCTCAAACAGCTGGAGGGCTCTAAAGAATTCTGATTGCAGGGAAGAGGCACTTACCACTTGCATAGCGGTGGCAAAAAAGTTGGCTGAAAGGAAGAAAATAAGAGTCTGTTAGCTTCAAACTTTGAAGTAGACATAACAGCAGCTCATTAACCCAGCCTCCCAGAGGACAGGTAAGACACGTTCAATTTGAAAGCTGAATGCGTAGCATAGTTTGACAATGTAGCAGTGATCTTCACTTTGCATGTAGAGACTTTGATGTGGCATGAATTTTGCCAGCCAGTGTTCTGGAGGCAATTGTACTGCCGTGCTTTTGGAGACAGATTTAAGCAGATGACCTATGTGACTTTAGGCAGTTTTACAAAAGCTACATTGTCTTGTTTGATGCAAGACAGCATGTATGTGTCTAACAGGCAGGCTACAAAAAAGGCAGCCACATCACCCACCTCCTCTGTTTACTCCAGTGGAAGAGAGCACATGCAACAGAGACAGGCATTCAGGCAGGTTACCCACCCCTTTGGTACACCCCAAAGCTGCCCAAGAACACACAACCGCCCCCTGAAAATGTCTCCTTCCCGTTTTCTAAGGCTTTGACTCTGGCTTTGTAACTGACACTTCAAAGCAGCACGGAGACTGATGCTGCCTGAGGGAGGCAAAGAAAGCCACAGTGGGAGGAAGAACATAAACTATCCGGCTCAGTAGCTCATTTCATTTGTGTGGTGAGAATTTTGGAGAGGTGTTTTTGGTTTTCTGAAGGAAACGTAAGGGCACTGGATGCTATCAGAGCCTGAAACCACGGCTGGCTGTCGTAGCAAAGTGGTGGAAAGAACTGTAAGGCAATTGACTTAAAACCATTAGGTACAATAGACACATAGCAGGACAGAAGCAACCAAAAGAGACATACAACATTCTGACTATTTCCAGGCTTCTTTCCAAGGACAAAAAAAAAAAGTTGGTAGGGTAACCTAATATGCTTCTCCAACATAACACCTCCTAATCTATCTTTGCTCTTCAAATGGACAAAAACTGTATCAACTCCTCACTAGTTTCCTAAAGTATGCACTGTAATGTAATTCTTCATCCTATCATTTATAGAAATGTCAGTTGCTTAAGAGTGGCTTCCAACACTTATGTTAACACCATGTTTTACACAGCATGAGTACAGACTCCTCTTTGCCACACTGGTCTTCAGATTGAAGCTGCATCTACTTCCAAACATACAGAAAGGCTTATGAACATCCGAAGGCAAAGTTGTGCACACACAGATGGCAGAAAGAGTCTGTGAATCCTTCTGAAAAGGATGAGGAAGAACTAGAATAGGAACTCACACCACACACAAAAAAAAACTGCTGTTCACCAGACATGTATCATTTCATGAAGCTGCTAGCAGATGTTCCTCCTTAAACGAGTCTTGTAAATAGCCTTGTGTTTTTTATTCTGTGGGGCTCAAATGCTTATTCACATGGGCTACACTCCTACTTCCACACAGAAACCAGTGCACCAATGCACAGCACAACCTCCTGGCACTGGAATTTGTCCTACTTCGTCTCCAGAAAGTATTAGAAGGGACTAATATAAGCAAATGGCATGCATTTTTCCTAGCTGGGTAGAACTACCTGAAATTCGTAAGTACCTTTTCACCCAAGCTTAATCAATGCAGATTGTCAGATATCTTGAAGTCCCTACCGTCATCAGGGTCCTGGGGAGTGAAACTCCTCTTTTCAACATCATCTAGCACCTCAGAGATTATGCCTGATGGGAGAAGATCAACTGCGGAACAGACAAGCAACATCACACCTCAGTTGTGCTAAGCACTTCATTACTGAAGAGCATCCGCTTGCAAATATAATATGGAAATAGAAACAAGCAACATGATTTCAAATAAGTGTCATGATTCTCATGGTGCTCCACACCACCTGCAATTTTATTTGTTCTAAAATTTGCCCTACTATTTCAGATTTCCACAGCACAACAGGGCAGATTCTTAGCAAGGAATCAAACAGGCCTGGAAGTTTGTCTGTTAGAAGGCTGCACTAGGAAAAGCAAGGAATCTCATAAACACACACACAAAAAAATTCAAAATGGAAAAAAAAACCCCAAGGAAAAAAACCAACCAAACCCAGAGAGACTCCATAGCAGTTCCTCCTCAGTTGTTAAAACACAAGGACTGCAGTTATGACTACTGTGCCTATTCTCTTCCCACACCCAGATTTTTGGTTAAAGCATCTCCAACAGTTGGGCTCCTGCCTTCTAACACAGCTGTATTTCAAGACAGGTCCGATGCACAGAACTGTTGCAGAAAAACAGAATCCCTGTGCAACCAATTCCCTGTGGCAGTCTATGAAATCACATGCATTATAGTCAGATCCAGCCTCCACAGAGAAGCGAGTGGCATTTGCTCTTTAGCTTTATCAATTTGTGGCCACAAATGGAAAGGAAATGGGCTTTCTTTCCAGTTCTGCCCATTCTCAAAACACAAGGACTCTTCCCTCCCTGTCAGAGGCTATGATCCTCTGGAGCTTTTTCTTCACTCAAGCAGAATCAGACTGCACAGGTTAACGCTAGGACTGCACACAAAAGAGGTTGACTTTTAATCCATAAATGGAAAATTGGAAAAGCATTTAAGGCATATGTTAAACAGGACATGACAATTCATGAATGAGTTGATATTGCACGTACCGCCTCTATAAAATATAGAAATAAGATGATCATACGTTGCAAGGCTAGGCTCTGGAAAAGCAAAAACATTGACGTTACTTCGACATTCTTGGCTGAGTTTTATGCCCGAGCTCTAATTCAGAGCCTCCAGCTCTTGCAGTAAGGTAGCATGCATAAATTTACTCTCATTTCTCCCCCCCATCCACCCTAATGCTGGACCAGACCTCACATACACACGTTAAAACTGGGAGAGAGGATATCTGACGGTGGACCACCAGCTGAACCATCATATTGCTAGAGGGTGAACAGCCAAGCTTCCCTGCTCTAAATTAAAAGCCAAAATATTTCATAGCTAGTTTCCCTTCTGCTCATGAACACATCCTTAGCGTATCAACAAGCATGTTACTGGGGCAAAGCACACTCCATAAGACATCACATAGTTGTGCAGCTACTCCCTGGTTTTGCAATGTTTATTTGACATCAAAAAACATCACCTAAATCAAAAGCTTTTTTCTGTAGAGATGTAGATATATAGATCTGAACTGGCTTGGGTGGCTTGTGAAGTAAATCTCCTTGATCTATGGGAAGCTAACAGACTCATCTGAGAGCTGCAAGTATATCTTCATACTATTCACTCTTTCTACAGCAGTACTACAATAAAGACCCAGTTGAGAAAGAGTCCATGGGGCAGGACACACTCCCCCACTGCGTACATGCACCTGTTCTTCAGTAGCTAACTACAGGTAAAAATGTTAACGATAAACATGCTCCTAACCTAAAAGACTACAGCATCAAAATGCTTCATTATTTGACCTAAGGGGCTAAGTGCACCCATTATATTGTAGTTAGTAATGAACACTGAACAAAGGCTCTGACATGATGATTCAATTTGAAATCCACAGGCACTGGCTTGCTGAGTGGCCATAGCTCAGTACTTACATGTTTTTATTTCTCAATTCTCTTGGAAAAGGAAACAAATATTCAAGTTGAGAACACAGTGAGAAATGCTTTTTTCCACAAGCCTTGGGCTTCTTCCCTGCAACTAGGAATGAATCACTGTGTTGTTTCCTGCTGTACTTTTAGAGTTAGCTATTCTGGAGGTGGAATTAGAATAGAACAACCATTCTGGTTCTCTTACCTATATCAAGTGCTTCCATTTCCTTTATTACCAGTAAAGACAAACTTCTGCCTACACCACCACATCTTCTCAGAGTCTTCAGTAAAGCATTAAAAGTTAGCAGATTTGGTTGCACTTTCTGTTGAGCCATATGATTCAGGAAGACCTTAAACAAAATCCCCAAACCCTTAGTGCTTCACATGTAGGTAGGTATACATACATTTCCTCAATATAATCCTCCTCACCTCCTTCAAGTGAATGACTCTACCTCAATTGACCATTTATTAAGGGAGTACCATCTAATTTTTAATTAATTTGACCAAAAAACAAGACTACAAAATCACATCAGATTAGATCTTGGAGAATTGTGCCTAGAACATCAAAGACTTTTTTAAATTTATGAACTAATTTTCCTTTCTGTTATGTCATTAAAACTGGAGCCTCTAATGTTACTCCTCAAAATTCCATTTCTATCACACCACCATGAATTCAAACAGTTTGATTCAACAGTTCAAAGAGCTTTTATCTAGAATTGTTTGTTTGCTTTATCTCCCAGCAGAATTTCCCAATTACTTTCTGTCTGTGCAGTTCTTGGATCAGGTATGTTCTCACAAGGCAAACCGTTCTGCAAGGGCAAGGTTGGATTTTGTACATTTTCCACTTCTCAATAGTTAGTTTGTATGTTTAAACTAGTATACTTCCTTTGCAGCAAGTATTAGTATCTTTGTACAAAGCTCTTGTTTTTAGGCTTCTAACAGCTGCAAAATGCTACTGATAAAGCAGACCCAGCCCCTACACGCTTACCCCTTCCCCAACTCTTCCGCTCTACCTCCTTACCTTGGCTAATTCCCATCTCTCTAAGAACCTCTCCTTTAGATATGGGACTGCTGTAATCAGCGCGTTGAAGGTGTGCACATCAGCTGGAAAACATAAGATAATTCATTTGCACTGACAATTATATTCTACAGAAAACAGTTTGTTCTAACGTGGCTCAGTTTTTGGCGAAGTCTCATGCAAACCTGTTTCCAGTGAGCCGGCCACATGCCAGCTGCACTGAAATAACCAGTTTGCATTCAGCTCCCATGATCTAGCTGAGGTCCGTACCCCTGCGCCAATCATCATTGCCATGAAACAAATATTCACGTACCCAACAACTGGTTTCTGCCACTTAGAAGACCACAAGTCAAAACCAGGAAACACTTACCCTTGTGTCTTTCATTCAGCAAGTCTATGTACATGTCATAAGCTTTAGTAGAAGCCCCGTGCTGCAAAAAGCAAAAAAACAACAAAAGTAAACAATCTCTAGGACTGTGTGAGATTTCACAAGCTGAAGAAAGTCCTCTCAGCACTGAAAGATAACTTTACCTTCACCATCCCACGGATCATTGTGCAATAGGAGTGTGCATTCCTCTCTGGCATTATCTTAAATATCCTTTCAGCACTGTTATTCTCCCTAGAATCAATGAACAAGCTGAATGTTAAAGAACTTAAGAAAAGATATCTTTAGGAAAAAGAGTTCAACATGCAGAACAAAATAACCGGCTGTACTCCCAAGGGCTGTCATGCAAATATATTATTTGTGACACTCTGAGCTATTCTACAATCACTTGCTAGATTTCCATCAACAACTTAAAAGATCAGCAAACACAGATGTATTTAAAAAGTACCACCTGCAAGCATGGGCTGCTAAAAAGTCTTTAAAGTCTGTTTTATAACAACAATGCATGTGCACAACCCACAACCCCCGCATACAGAATATTGGCAACATTTTCCATACCTCCATCTAGAGCCAAATGACTGTGAATCTCTTTGAAATTGTCTCTTTGGAGCCTTCTGCTCTGAAGCATTCTCCTGGACAGATTTTTGCAGAAATAAGTTTCTCAGAGTTCAAAGTTATGTTTAAAGGTCAAATGATGTGATTTGGAAAGAACACAGTAGTTCAGCTGCAATTTATATGCTACCAAATTTTAATGGGTTACATTAAAATAATTTCCATTATAATGTTCAGGAAGCAATAACTAGATTAAGAATACTGTTTATGTTATTAGACATACTAACAAAGCAAATTATATGCATTTGTGGAGTTGGTGGGAATCATTAGACTATAGCAAATACTCTGTAAAATCCTTTCTCCCTCGTCTTCCCAGGGACAAGTATTGTGCAACAGGTCTACTACTGTACCCTGCAAGCTGATACTCTGAGGTCACACAAGGAACCCTCAACTTCACTGAAATCTAGTTATTATTTTTCAGACTGAAAGAAAATTAATTAGCTGGTTTTACACTAGAGGGACTACAGTTCTTCACAGGCAACTATAAAAACAAGGCTGTCATTGAGAAACAGTTATTTAAGTGCAGTTCAGCAGAACTAAGCCAAGACAGGATTCCAGCTGCTAAGCTCAGCTTTACAGAAACTACTTTTGCTAGTAGGTCAGACACAGGATTGTTATAACTGCCATATCTCTAGGGAATGCTGACTGCACCTGAACCACCTCATATCATCTCCCATGCGGATAGCCACAGTACAAAAAACTTGACATCACCTTGATACACTCCCAGTATGTATGAAAGAAGTAACTAGGGATCAGGAAGGTTTTCATACCCCTGGTTCTTCCAAATCCTCTTTTTCTTCTTCTGGAGTAGATTCACCATCTCCATAGAAGCATAACAAATCTAAAAGGCTGTTTGTGGTCTCCAGAGATACAGGGGTACCTACAGAAAATGAGGATGTACAACAGTTGCAGAGAAAGTAAAGAACACAACATTCTACAGCTGTATCAGAAAACTTTCAAACACTCAGTTATGCCACTTTGTTCCCTTTCGACATAAAGGCGTTCTCTAGTCTGTAAAACCTGGATGGGACAGTAATACTCCCACAAATCCATTCATAGCAGGAGACAATTTTAACACTGGGGTAAAGTATCTGTTTTTCTGTGAAAGCCATTGAAATGGCAGAGTTTTCATGACCAAGTGGGAGAAGGAAGTGGTTAGCTGGCAGCCAAAACTGAAGCAGCACAAGCCTGACACAACATCCAAAATTTCTACTGCTCTTCAGAACTACTGCTAGGATACATCCTGCTGTGACGACCACTTTGTGTGGTTTCACTTTCTATGAAACAGATATAAAACCAACAAGAGAGCTATTTGATGGAATCCTCTCCATTCCTTCTTATAATGGATATCAGAAGGTCTCACCTTCCCAGTAAGTTTTCCTTCTTCAGAGGCTGTGACAGTTACAGTTTTCTACTGCTTTCTCTTCATTCACACATGACAGAGAGAGGGTCCAAATTAAGGAATAACTGAGAAAGACTCATTTATTGAGGGCAGGTCCACAGAAGGGGCACTCAGCTGGTATGCTATACCAGTCCAACACAGCAGCAAAGTACTCAGCACAGATGTAGCTTATACCAACCAAAATGCTACTGCACGATGGCCTTTGTAGGCAGAACAGTATCGCTCAATCACACAGCATCTGCTCACAACAGGCCCTACCCTATTGCATCACAAATTCTTCCACTTTGGAAGAGAAGAAAAAAAACTCAACACCGTATCATCTGCTTCTTGATCAGGAAATCATTTGTTCTCTGTATCACCAAAGTGACACGTCAGATAGGCAGTGGATAAGGAGGGCCCAATAATTCTGGAGAACCACCTCATAAGACCAGAGTCAGTTGTGAAAGGCAGCAACATAATCATGAAGTTGCCTTCATAACCTGTGCCATCTACTAACATATTTTTGCCACAATTTAAGTAGACTCCACCACAGAATCTGGCAGGTGACCACATACCTGCTTGTATGAGCTGATCAAACAGGCTCACAGAATCTTTCACCCTTCTGAGGTGGATACGCTCTTTCAAAGCTTCCTCACTCACTCCTTCAATCTGAGGTGTAAGTGTCTCAGGCATCAAGCACTAAAAGCAAAGAGTGCAAGTTAGACACGAGCTCAAACCTCCTCTAAACAATTGTTAAACCACTAAGTATCTTGTTCTTCACTCAGTACACTGATTGGATAATCTCCCAACACTCCCAGCCTAACAGCAGCAGTCCTTTTGGTGATGAAGGACAACACACCCTGATCTCCAGCTTTCATGCTAGGAAGTCAGTATCTAAACAACATTTCTTTTCTTACTTTTATCTAAAGAACCTGATATGACACTGAATTCCTAAGGAAAAATGTTCATTTCAGAAACATAATGGAAATACAGCCCTGCTTTCATAGCTGTCTGCACAAGAGTTAACAAAACTATTCTTTTATATTAGTTTTGGCCCAGGCTGACAGTTCATTTCACCACCTGCCAAAGCATGAATGTAATGAAAATGAAAAGCAAAAAGCTTACTGGTACGTTGGGCTCTGCAAAAGTCTTGTCAAAGTATTGAGGAAATTGCTTAATAATGTATTTTGCAGCATTTCTCCCAGACTCCTTCGACAATAAAAACAAACGCTGCATAGGAATGAGAGAGAATAACATAAAGAAACACTCAATTAAAAGGCTGAGAGTAAGAAAAATATTTACCATAACACTGAGCGATCTGATGGGCTCATATCTGGCATGATTTGATGTCTTCCTTTTCAACTCTTAGTAAAAACACAGGCACAAGACAACATTCCAGATAACCCTTTCTGGTATTTATGCCAATATAAGAATGTCTATTCTTTGGATAAGACTGTAATTTACTTTCCTCTTACTCAGTCAAGGGACAAAGTTCTGTAGCAGACACATCTGAAATGCTGCACCTCAAGCTCAATGCAGTACCTCAAGCTCAAAAGCATCTTTCACTTTAGTTACGGCACTCAGATGTTTCTCTCCCTGCTTGTCGTTTCCAAGAGCATCATCTGATTCCCATCCACCTCTTTTCCTCAAGTTCTAAAGGCAGTTTAAAACTCTGTTTAGTTCTCCTTTGCTGTTTCTTTTAAAACTCTTCACATCTGACAGCTGTGTTCAGCCTTCTCAACGGCTTCACCTCTGGTATGCAAAAGAACTGAAGTTCTGTCGTAGCCATATCACCGATCTGCCACAACATATCTCAGCTCCCAGTCTTCTCTTGCTATGCTCTAATTAACATTACACACAGCACTTCCTTCTTGCCCTCATTTCCAGTTCTGCTTTCTCCTGCCTCAGCTTCATGCTCTTTAATCTTATGCAAATATAACATCAGGGGAAGACTCCCTTCCTTCTTCCTTTCTATTATTATCTCAATACTACTATTTCCATAAGCCCAAAGCTACCAAATAGTTGCTGTGTGATAAAGCTAAAATCCCTGGGGCTTGGCCAGGACAGTTAACTGATAACATGTAGTCTATGTAGTAACACACACCAAAGTGACCTTGTGTGTTTTAATTCATACATTTATTAAAATTTAATCAAATTGTAAGCACAAAATCTCAACACTTGCATTACCATATAGTCACAGTCTATGTCCAAGATAAAAAACCACAGTTTTAACAGGTTGAATACCTCATCTAAAGAATTACTGTTGGGAGTTATTTAACAGACTAAGAACACAGAGAAACAGAACAACTCAGCAGGTAGGCTGCTAACTTGCAGGAATGTTAACAGTGCTGCGTGGGCAGAAAGAAGAGATAACTGTCCAGAGAAATGCTACAGCCACTACACCTTCAGACATACACAGAGGAGAAAATTCTGAAAGAAATCTGATACTTCATTTTCTTTTGTAAATTAAACTAGGATGCAATAAATAGTTTTCATAGCCTAGATGAAAGGGGGAAAGAGCGGGGGAAGCTATCAAGGATTTGCAAGAAAATACCTACAGAATTGGCTGCGTTTCTTGGCATAAGGAAAGGGTCATCATGGAACATATAATGAGCAGCAGTAGGATCCTGTAGAAAGGAGAACCCAGGATTGAAACATTTACAGTAATGTACACAAGCACGCTGCATGCATATTACACTGCCTTGTGGAATTTAAGGCAGCTCCATTGTAACCACCACCTGATGCCCGTTTTACAAAAGCTCCACTGTTCAAAAGCTTTAGCCTATTTGGAAAAAGTTAAAAAAAAAAAGCATTTCCATTATACACATACATGCAAGCTGACACAGTGACAACAAAAGGGTCCTTACTATAACATGAGAAGCAATGAGTGCCCTGCAAAGCAAATAGGACCCCATCTGTAACAGGGAGCCGAGGGGACTTGCAGGATCAGATTCAATTTCCAGAATTCAAGACAGGCAGTATTAAAGAATGGCATCACAGCATTTACAGTTGTTGCCTAGCAAGAGGAGACACTGAATGCTCTTTGCAAGGCTTACTTTCTGGACTGGGAATTGAGAAGAGGCAGTCTGGTTTAGGAAGGTGATCTGGTAAAGGAACTTGCTCCTGATGTTAGCAAAAGCCTTATCAAAATATTACAGCTTTTACTGGCAGTTGCAGCTCCCTCTCAGCACTGGAATGAGGCTTTAAGAACACAGCAAAAAGTGTTGAGCAAAGTGAAAACCCCGTAAAAAACGGATATAAAAGTCCCATCTTTCATTTATGGCCAAAGTAGAAGAGTGAGCCTCCAGAGTGCAAGGTTATTGTGTGAGACGGACAAGCCAACCTATTTCCATGATCAACAGACCTACTTACCCTGTTCACAGTGGAAGCCAATGTTTGAAGAACCGCTAGCTTATCCCTAAACATAAAGGAGCTTTGATTAATACTCAGTTGCAGACTTTCAATGTTATGCATTGCATTGTATGTAGAACAAGCACAGGGCTATCCTGGCCTGTAAGGATTTTCAGCTGTAGGAAATAATGGTTTTGCTGCACTTAGAAAATACCATCTTTCATAAAGGGAGAGAAAACTCAACCGCAAAAACAGTCTCAGTTCTGGAACAACAACAGGAAAAAGAAGAGCACGTGTCTTTCCTGCCACCACTCCTGCCCTTATCATATATTATCAAAGAAAGAACATAGGGAAGGGACACCAAAAGGATTCCCTGAATGCTCCTCAGAGACCCCCACCCATCTCACTGATGGTTACATGAGTCCCTCCCCAAGACAAGTCTTGGGAGGAAAAAAACCAAAACAAAACAAAACTAGATTTCTCAGGACTCCTCTGCATGTGGATCCTTAAGACTTTGGTCTTTGCTTGTGGTTCAAGCAAACAAGAAAAGGCCACTGAAAGTGTTTAGGTGAAGGTGGTCTCATCTTAGGTTTACATGGAGGCACCATTTGGCTATTAACTTAGTTTTTGCTGTACAGTCATGCAATTTCATCTTAAGTGGTTCCAACAAAATAGCTTTTGTTCACCTGCATAAATTCTAAACAGGATTCATTCAGCCAGCTATCAATGGTCAAGTTTATTTTGCTGAAAGAAACATATCTACATGCAGATGGCCAAATGAACTTGATTTTACAGATTACTAGCAAATGTGACCTTTTCAAAGAAACTGAACTGCACTTAAAAATGCAGTCCTATAGATGTTTTTAAAAGAAAGGTCAGGAACAGAGTGTACATACTCTGCAGAGAGAGTAAGAGTCAAAAATATTCCCAGATCTCCCAGTCAGCAAGAAAGCCACTAATGGGATATTAAATCCAGGAATACGACGCATTTTCTTTTCAGCTTTGGTGGACAGATTACATTTAGATAATAATGATTTTCTTCAGGTCGATAGAGATATTCCAGCAGTAAACACTCACCAGGTTTTCTTTCGTGGGAGCACAATTTCTTCTCGAGTAACTATGAGAAACGGTATTATAACTGTTATTAGAAACAAACAGATGCCCAAAGAAAATCTTGACCTCGTGAAAATTAAATAGGACAATACCAAAAGAAGCAGCTAGAGGTTGTTAGTAAAGCACCTTAGCAAATTAATTCACAGCAGACCACGTGGGACCCCCTGATTACAACCCCCAGAGCCAAGGTGTGCAGAAGCACTTTTCCCACAGCTTCGGCATTGATGCTTCCATGAGCTGTTACTGCCTGGCAGAAACTTGGTTCCCATGTGCAGCATGGCTCCAAGCACCCCAGCTTACTCTTCTCACAGAACCCGTAGCAGAAATACAGTAAGGAGTACATGGAAGAAGCAAGAACGTGAAGGAAACTGAGACGATTAAGGTGGAAAGCTCCTTATTTTTATTTTATAGTTTATTCCATTTCAAAGAACAACTGGACAGGTCATGGAACTTGACAACTCAGTTCAGGCTCCTGGAGCACAGAGCTGGTTGGTGATGAGGGCAATCAAGTTAAGCCAGGAAATCTCTGCACAATGACAACAGGGGGAAAGAAAATCGAAGAAGGGGAAAGAAGACATTCATGTCTTTATTTCCTGACATGCTATGTTGTTTGGGGATTAAAACAACCTATGCAATAAATTAGTAATTAAAACACCATACCTCCTGAATTGTCCACAGTCTTCTCAAGAGCTGCACTACTAGAAGAGCACCTATAAACCAATAAGAGTTTTGAATTTATAGTAGTTACATTAATACAACAAAAGTAGATTAATGCAATTTTGTACTACAGGTCAGAATTAATTAAAACGTTAATGGGGAAAAGTAACTGAAAATGTTGCATTGTTAATAACGCCAGATTATTATAGTAAAACTCACGTTTGATGCCTCTCCTAAAAGCCCTAATTTCAAGAGACAAGAACTTATACAAAGAAAATCATATTACATAAAATTCACAATTCTTTATTTTTGGTGCTAGCACAGCTCTAAATTAGTTTTCATGAATTAACTGCATCTTAGAAAGAAAATCCTGAACATAAATCAGAAAAGACAATTTATGTTTTAGAGACAGGATCTAGCTGAAAGTAGTCCCTTTTCTTAAATATTTTAGACCAGAACAGTGTTTACACAAGCAGATGACCCTGACTTGGGATGCAGGGAAATCAGATATGTTTAGTCCAGATGCCCAGTCTCTACAGAGCTGCAGGCAGCACACTCACATTACCACAGCT